TGCATCTTCCACCAGCAGGGCTGTTGTGGGGGGGGGGGGGGAAGGGGGGAGGTGAGACCCCTGGGAGCCAGGGACCGTGCCTGGGCAGAGCCATACCTGGGGGATGCCGGCACCATGCCGGGCACCACCACCATGTTGGGAGTGTCGATGGTGGGCATCGGTAAGTGGATACCATCATTCTCCACAGCATCGCCTCCGCTGTCCACATCCTTGATGTCCACGGTGGGGTAATTACCTGGCCCATGGAGAAGGACAATAATTGCAGGTGAGAGGGGCGAAGGGCCCAGCCTGAAGCCAGGATGAATCCCCAAGCCCCATCACCTCTGCAGAGCTGCCCCCAAACCCCGCAGCGTGCTGGAGGGACTCTCCTTTTCCTTCCATTCCCTTCTTGCCCAGCACTCCTTTCTCCTAACAGTTTGGAGCATTTCTTTCTCTTTTTTTTTTGCCCAGTTTTTAACACTATAAGAAGTGCCACCTGCTTCCCTTCTGCTTTCCCAGCTTGCAGTGATTGCAACTACTCCGTGCAAGCCTTGGGTCCCCGTGGTTCGGAAAATGATGGAGATGTGGATTACCAGCTGCAGGTGTTATGCAGGAACCCAGGATTTCCAGCTGCAAACCTTCCTCCCAGGGTCTAGAAAAACCTCCTGGGTCTTCTGAACATAAATATATGGATCATGCAAGCTCCAAATTACACAAGCGTTTGTTTTTCATGCAGAATAAGGTGCTATTTAAATAAGCACTTACGGCCTCTCTCTTTTGCAGAGGTAATAACTGCTTCCTGCCACAAGCAAGGTGGCCTCTAGCAGGAAGGTTGGATGTTTATAGTGGGTAGCAAGAGATGCCAATTGCCCAAGGGAGAAATGGCGCTGGGGGTTATCTTGGCTAGACCCCACAGCCGGCAGGGCTGTGAAGTGTCATCCCTTTTCTTAGCTATATAACAAAATGCAATGAGTTCCTGCAGGTTTTATTCTAAGGGGGGGGGGTTCACACGTCTGAAAGACCCTGTGCATCCCCTCCTGTCCCACGCTGATGTGGGACCAGTGGATCAGAGAGAGGCTCGATCAAATCACTGAGAAAAAGCCTGTTTGGGTTGCAAAGTTAAAATCCCATTGCATGTAAGGAAAAGCAGCAGAATTTGGCTTGCTGGTTAAAAACAAAGCAAAACAAAGCTACAGAAACCTAATTCGTACTTCTGGGTTAAAAGGCAGAAAACCGTGAACAGCAAACCTCCATCTTACTGTCATCTTAGTATGAGTGGGTTGCACGAATGCTGAGGAGAAAACTGTGTGTGCAGCGGATATTTAACCCTCTGCCTGCAGGTCCTTCAGGAGAGTTTTTGGCCAAGCAGGTCAAAACATATAGCATATCACGTACAGATGTTTGCAAACGCTCTCTAGGGGTTAGCTAGAAAGGCAGTATAGTGATGAGGCGGAAGCAGAAAAAACATGAATTTTGTTCCCCAGCCTCTGTGCTGCAACATGAAACATGCTTTTATTTATTTTTTCCCAAAAAAAGCAACAAAAAGCAACTACTCCAGGAATAACCCCTTGCCCCCCTCAAGTTACGCAAGTCCATCGTCAAAGCTGACATCTCTAATACCTAGGGGGGATTGCTCCTCATTGCAAAAATTGGGGTTGACAACTCCAGCCTTTGGCTTGCTGGTGACAAGGACAGGGATGCGGGAGGCAGTGGTGGCTCGGTAGCTGGGGACATTGGGGAGCTGCTCTAGCGCGCCGTGGCCGGGAGGGGAGGCGTCCCCGCCGTCGAGCGGCTTGTCATGCACCAGCCAATCTAGCTCGACGTCTCGGGCACGCTTGGACATGCTGCTAGGTGCCTAGGTGCTTCAAGCAAAGGGCAAGGCATCTGAAGCTGCAATAAAACACAGAGTGGTTTGAGATGGGTTATGTCAGCGCGGAGAAATGCAGGGCTGCTGGGGTTTTTGTTGCCGCCCGCTGCTCACAGATGTTGGTAGCAGCAGCGGTGAGCATCCTACCACATGCTTTTCTAGCATCGCTGCAAGATTGGGGTGCTCTGCAGGGCTGCATGAGCAGAGAAATCTCCGGCCTGTACCAGGGCTCAGGTCAAGCCATCCTGTGTGCAACTCCCCTGACGTCGGTGGAGTTATGCCAGGACCTGCCTTTGCTCACTCAGGCTGCAATGGGAGCTCACCACCTAAGTTTCATTACCAACCCGTTACCTCCTAAAAGGTTACATTAAAATGCGCTTTATGCCACCAGTTATTTCCCAAATTGAGCAAAGTGGTAGCGAAAGTCCTTTTTGTCCCCACCTACGTTCTTCAGTTGAAGGAAAAACTCTTATTTCGCATCAGAGGTTGCTTAATCAACAAGACTAAGTACTGAGTAAGCACCAGCCTTTCAGAGCTGGCTCCAGCTGATGACAATATTGCCATCGCACTGTGCCCACGGGATGCTTTAAGCTAGCGAAAAGCCCCGACTGCCCACGCAGGCCCACGCTGCAGAAAACTCATCTGCCTGCTCCCAGACAGCGAGCAGCGGGGAGGGAGAAGCTGCATTTTCCCCTCGCCAGGCATCGCGTTGCCTGCTTCAGTTCATCCTAATTTGACATTACACTGCTATATATTATACCTTCAGCATCGGTTTCAGCAGCTTCAGCTGTCTCCTCTTCCACCTTCAAAATGAAAAAAGCCATTTTAAGGAGAAAAAGACCTGCTCTGTCAGTAAAAGAGCAGACTTTGCAGCTTGATTGGGTGCCCCATATCCCCCGACCATTCGCCAGCCTCTCAGCTTGTTGTTCAGTGCCAACATTTTAGGGTGAAAGCATCCCCCCCTTGGTGCACAGCTACTGCTGCTGTCGCAGGTTCAGAGATGGGAACATCCTGGTGGACAACATTCCCAGTGCCCATCCCGGTCCCTGCTCCTCGCCAGGGCGTTGCATCCCCCAGGACAGGCTCTGAGCCCCTGGCATGCGCTGGGCAGCAAGAGCTCGTTGCAGATCTGAGCCCAAGCAGGGAGCGATGCCGTACCTGTACAAAAGCACCTTCAAGATCACTTATCTCTGCTTCTTCCAGCTGCTCAAACCTGAGGGCCTCCTCTGCAAAGTAGACTTCATCCACACCCTCGTCAGCAGCGAGACAAGGCGACTGGAGCAGGGGTCTGGATGGTACAGATCAAGCAGAGACAAGCGCCCAAGCTCGCTTTTGCCCTTTCAGAGGTTGTGCACGTTGCGGATGGGGGGCATCACATAAACGGGGGGGGGGCATCACGTCAATGGGGAAGATGCACGGCTGTCCCGGTTTCGGGGAGCACTGCTCCTCCAGCTGCGCCGCAAGCCTCATTTGCAGGTGAACACCACCACAGAAATCTTAGTTTAATACAGTAGTGGTACAAAAAAAATTGCTGCTTAGGTTAGAAGGGATTTGGAAAAAATACTACATGGGAGACCAAGTGAGAGGTGCATAAATAATGCAGGGCATTGCATATACATAAGCAAAAATTGCATATGCAAAAAGATACAGGCAGTATGTTTCTCCTGCTGTGCATAATAATTTCTCATATAATTAAAATTTGCCAAATAAAAAGCTGAGAGCCTAATTTCCAGGCAGGGCTGCCCCGCAAGCACCATCCGAATCCCACGCTTGCCTGTGCAAGACACCACCAGGACACATAATTCTCATTTTCCTTCAGCAGCAAGCGCAGGCCTCAGCTCCACCATTCCGACAAAGGGGGCTCACAAAATCGATTTTACTGGTTTAATATAACCTTACCACTGAAAAAAGAAAAGCCTCATCGTGTTGTTCTGTTCACTTATCTCCAGATTTGCTCTTTCCTGGAGAGAGACGCAAAGTGGGGATTGGGGATAATGAAAAAAACTTTGAGACAGCTAAATGCATGAAAATTGAAAAATCCTTGGCAGGTCCTGAGTCAGATGATGTATGTAACAAGTAGTGGCTGCTTTTTCTCTTTTATCTCCATGTCTTGAAAAACTGCTATTTTCCAAGGTCGTCTTAAAATTATTTTTAATCATTCCCCCCCCCCTTTTTTTTTTTTTTACTTAGGCTCCCTTCAAATGCAATCGCAAGTCTTTTCATCCTAATCTAGAAAACCTGTTGCTGTATCTCTTTTCCCATAAGTAGACAAACACGTCGAAGGACGGAGCAGCATCTCATTCACCCAACAACTAAAGCTCAGGTTTCTATAGTGGAGCTCCAGGAACAGATTTTGATAAAATAAAAAGATATGGTTTTAGCACTGCATAATCATGCGTTTTCAGCTTCTTCCTGAAAATCTAGCTACTTCAGAAGAATTAACAGAGTAATATTGTAGCACTAGGTAATAAATCCCTAAACATTTATCTCACGTGAAATCAGAGCAAACCACTAAACTAAGCAGAAAGATTTTTTTAAATACCATCTGGACCAAAGTCACCACCTACAACAGCTGACTATAACTCGGCGATTTTCTACAACAGGAAAAAATGTGAAATTGTACCTACTTGTATTAAGTAGCATTTGCAGGTACAACACATAATCCCGTCTTTAAATTCCGCTCTGTAATACCCATAATAATCCCGACTGCCCTGAATCAGTGGATACGGTTTTAAATAACGTGGACCGTCTCCGGGCGCCGGGTGCTCCCAGCTCCCGACGAAGGCACAGGCCGGGG